GATAAGTTGTCTAAACAGAAGGGCACAATTTAAATTCTGAGCCTCATCTGCTTCTGAGGCTTAAGGTTAGTAGCATTAACATTTTTTAAATCATTCTTTTTTTAAAAAAGATTTATTCATTTGTATTGCAAAGTCAGATATACAGAGAGGAGAGACAGAGAGGAAGATCTTCCATTCGATGATTCACTCCCCAAGCAGCCGCAACAGCTGGAGCTGAGCCAACTTGAAGCCAGGAGCCCAGAGGCTCTTCCAGGTTCTCTCACGTGGGTGCAGGGTCCCAAGGCTTTGGGCCGTTCTTGACTGCTTTCCCAGGCCACAAGCAGGGAGCTGGATGGGAAGTAGGGCTGCCAGGATGAGAATTGGCATCCATATGGGATCCTGGCCCATTCAAGGCGAGGACTTTAGCTGCTGAGCTACCACACCCATTCGTTCTTTTACTTATTAAGCAAATACCTAGTGCAGGACACTACTAGTCCTAGTGATCTGAAGATTGACTAACAGTAGTTCCTACTGTTGTGTTTGTTTATAAAAATAATCAGAACACTAATGTGAATGGAATTACAATAGGGATAACACCAACATGGCAGGAAATTGAAGAGGCATATAACTCTAATTTGAGTTAGTTTTTAAAAAATGAAGCCAGATTTAATTTTCCCTTCCACTCTTCCCCCAAATCAAGAAAAGATTGAAGAGGTGGAGAATTATGAAGAACATGGTGAGATTGTTGTAGGACGTGGGCAATGGAGTGAGAAAAAACAGACTTCTTTTTGCCAGGGAAATCTCAGTTATATCCATTGGATCCCACAACACTTTGATGTTTATGTTTTCAGAAAAATCTAGCAGATTAAATCAGATTAAGTCATTTGTTTTGAGAACAGATTCCTCCATATTTTTTCTTTATCTTTTCTCCTTCCTTTCTCTCTCTTCCTTCCTCCCCCTCTCCAGACCTCTTTCTTTTGATGTGTTAATATTCAATAGTGCTACTGCTGCTGCTGTGTTTTTTTTTTTTTTTTAACCCAGCTACCCCAAACCTCCAGGTATGGGGAGAAGGCTCAGGCCCACCAGGCTTTGTTCGCCAGTCTTCCTTGGAAAGTGTCTGAGGGTAAAAGTTATATAGGCTAGCTGGCACTCTCTCTTTCCTTTTAAAACTCTATTTGTAGTTATTTCTGTATTTATTTATTATGAGATAAGAGGAGGAGGGTGAGAGATCGTGTGCATGTGTGTGTTGTATGTGGGTGTGCGTGTGTGCATGTATGTGTTACCCAAGGCTGGTTCACTCTGAATGTCTGTAATGGTTGGGGCTGGTCCAGGTCCAAACCAGGAATTAGGAATTAAATTGGACTGGATGGCAGGTAAGTAAGTGCTTGATTCATTACAGGCTTCCTCCCAGGGCAGGAAACTAGAACTGAGACAGAACCAGGGCTGGAACTCAGACACTCAGATGAATTGGGGTGGGCATGTACACTAGTGTTTTGGTCATTAAGTCAAATGCCCACTCTCTTGTTCTCGTTTTAACATTATTGGTCTGAACTGTTATAATTCTGTTGGCTAACATACTGTTAGCAAATTATTCTGTGATTTCTCTTTATAATATTTTTAGGTAGATAACTTTTAGCTACTTTCTTGAGCTTTTAGGTGGCAAAAGGCTATTCATAGCTGTGTGACCCAGTAAAGATTAAATTTGATCTAGGTCTTAAAAGATAAAGAGAAAGTGAACTTTCTATTCTCTGCTGCAGTGCAGTGGGTTAAACTGTTACCTGCAGTACTAGAATCTCATATCAGAACACCAGTTGAAGTCTTGGCTACTCTGTCTCTGATACAATTCCTTGCTGGTGTTCCTGAGAAATCAGTAAAATCGAAAAGTCAGTACTTGAGCCCCTACTATTCACATGGGAGACCTGCATGGAGTTCCTGGCTCCTGGCTGTAACGTTTTTTGGAAAGTGAACCAACAAACAGAAGGTCTTTGTCTCTCTCTCTGTCACTCTGCCTTTCAAATAAAACTTTTAAAAAGGATGTGGACATTTCAGGTAGAGGGATCCTCAAAGCAAAGAAGTTTAAGTTTGGAATGTGAGGGAAGGAGTATGGTGTATCATGGAATTATTAAAAAACAAATCTTGATGACACAGCCAAATTATCATGCCTAGGATTATTCTCTAGGAAAGTGAACTCTAAAGGAGGCTGAAGGGAGAAGAACTGAGGATGGGGAATCCAGCTGCGGATATTTACATGGTAGACAGATAATAAATAAGAAAGGCTTGAATTGTGTCTGTGTTTAAAAGAGAGATGGAGAGAGAACGAGAGAGAGAGAGAGAAAGAAAGGGAATGATTTAAAGATATATTCAGCAAATAGAATCAATGAACGAGTAAGTGCCAGAACAAGGGATGATATTTAAAACTATTCCAGGCTTTAGCTCTGAGATGCCAGTTAATTCTAAAAAATAGAAATGGGATCATAGAAGGAAGAAAGGAAGAGAATATTTCAGAGGGAATATGTGAGTTAATTAGCTACATACATGTATTGTAACTAGAGATTATAAGAGTGCTTATAAAATTAGACATGTGAGTCAGAGGAAGCAAAAAGCCTTCACTGATAATCTGACATGGGTGTCAGATGTCATAGTAGACTAGCATGACAGACGAATCATAATGACACACCTGTACATGCACATTTATTTGGGAATTGAGCACAATAGTGTTCTAATAAGAGCATACTACAGCCACTCAAGGTAGCTTCTTTGTGCTAACCTGTATTCATTCCCCCAGGTCTTTGTTAGTAATCTCAACCCAATTCCAAACAAAAAGAGGACCTCTGTCTTTTCAGTCCTCTGTGACAGCTGGGAAAGATTGTCATTGGTTTTGAACCCAGATAGCTTCCGTGTAAGTCATCCTCTTTCTGAACTCCCAGAATTAATCTTTCCCAGACTGACAATAATTCTGCTGTCTTCATTTCTCAAACTCATGTGGGTTTGCAACACTTCAGATAGCTTATAACTAGGTTAAAAGGGGATGGAGATACTCCTTCAGGCTTCTCCTGTTTCCCGTGTTCTGTCAAATCAATATTCTCAACACAGCTAAGCAGGGACAGATGGTGCACATTCCCTCAGTGACAGAATCGCACAGCAATGTCAAAGGCATTTACGTCCTGAGGAGGGATGCTTTGTGATGAAAAGTTTCCCACCATGTGTGCTGAAGATGACAGAAAACTGAAGCCCCAATAACAACCCATGTCCAGTTAGGTTAAACTTTAATCACATGAATCATTTAGAAACAAACTCAGTTACTTTATTGCCAGTTCTCCAAGGAGTGAGAAGGCTCCTACAGGAGTGCTGGTGTGCTTCACTTGAAGTTATCTGTGATGAGGATGACCTAGCATTCAAGAATGGATATGTATTCTAAAATTAAGGCTGTGTATTTTCAGCTGCTATAGTGAAATGGAAAAAGGAAAAGCTGCTAATGGAAAATAGGCACTAATTTGGATAACATGAACGTAACCTGTAAGTTTGTTTCTCTTAACCTTTATTTTATGTATTACTGAATTGAATTTTGTCTTTTTTAATTTTTTCAACAGGACTAAAATTTTGACTAAATAACATAAATTTAAGCATTTGAACCTTGTCCAACTGTCCATTTCCTTTTCCACATGAAAGACAGGCAGTGTTAGCCTTTTTAAACTGTTTTTATGATTTAATACTTTTGAAGAAATTAGCACTTAGATTTTAGTCTCAATTCTGGCATTGACCATTTGTTTATTCTTTGCCAACTCCTTTTTTTTAAAAAATCTTAGATTCCTCATATATAAAGAACAAGGATATCTTAACAAAAACCTGTTCCATTCCTGATATTCTGATTTGTGATCTGCTCAGATGAATGTACTAGACAGATAATGATCTGAATATAAAATACAGATTTATAAGATTTATTTGTCTTTCAGTAAAGTTTTGGTCTAAAACAGAAAATTTAAGAATGTGAACTTTTTGTTTTTTAGCTGTACTGAAGATGACAGTGTTTACCTTAATAGCTGAACTAGAAGCACATCCACATGCATTCTATATTATGCTTACACATAATATACATTTTTCACAAATGTTTACATTCCCAGTACAGAGGTTGTATCCTTTGAGTTTCTGCATTAGTAGTTGAACTGTATTAGTAAATAGAACACATTTCAATTTCAGGTATTTATTCAGTCACTATGTTGACTTTTCCGTCCTAAGTGTGTTTGAATTACTAAGGGGGCTCTAGAAATAAAGTAGCAGCTCTTAATAGTCCCTAGACATCAAAGAAGGCTAGCAAAAGATTGGTTACCAACCCATTTATTTTAAACTCTTTTGGAATGTATCACTGCTCTGCCCCAGTCATTCCAAACCCCTCTGCCATGTAAAGTGTGAATGTGTTTTGATATCTTCAAAACTCACCTAGCTCATTGAGTCACATAATAAATTTTATCAAAGCTGACTCTTAAGACATGAGTATGAGTTACATTATGAATATTTTTATTATATAAAATCAATTTTCATTAAAGTCTATGAACTTTGACAATATATTTATGAAAAATTTTATGATCTTTTATGGCTTAGTTTTCTAAACCTTTAAGTTAGAATTTCCATAGAGTAAAATTCACAATTTTTAGTCAAGATATTGACAATTTCCATTACCATCCTCCTCAGTCTTCCGCATGTTTCGTATATATAAATATATATATGTATAAGTATATATCTAAACATTCTTATATATATATAAGTATATAGTCACTTTCACTACATCCTCTTTCCCCTCATAAAAGCTGGCGTATTTTCTTCTGCCAAGAATGTTGTTCTGTGAATAAAATCATACAATATATTATAGCCTTTCTTGTTTAGGTTCCTTCATTTGGTAACATGAAAGCGATTTTTATCTGTGATGTTGTATAGTAGTGATATCTTTAAGTATATCTTGTATCAAATGAGTGTTCCCTCACTGTTGTGCATACTCACTTCTTAATTGAAGTGCTTTTTGTGTAGTCAGGATGGCCAAGTAGTCTAAGGCGCTGTGTTCAGATCACAGTCTCTCCTAGAGGCGTGGGTTCGAATCCCACTCCTGACAAACCTAATTGACCCTTTCTCAGAAGTGCTCTTTGCCTGCCTTTAGTTTTGGTAATTGCTAATGAAGCCTATATAAAGATTTATATCCATGTTCTTATGTAGTGTTATATTTTCAGTTCTCTTGTTTGATACCCAATAATGTGGCTTCTGATAATATAGTGAACTTCTGCTTAATTGAGCCAGAATCTTCTATAGGATTGTATCATCTTAGATTATGACAAGTAATATATAAATTCCAATTGTTATGCATAATTGATAAAACAGTATCATTTTAAAAAGCCATTCTAATATGTAGATAGTATGTATCATTTTAGTTTTAATTTATATGTCCCTAAAGCCAAGTGGATTTAGTGTTTTTTAATGTCTGCTTGCCATTTGCATACCTTCTTTGGAGAATTATCTATTCAGTGTAAAGTTTCAATCAGAATTTGTTTATTTCTGTACCATTTGTTGAAAAAGGCTTATATATCAATACACTTTGCACATTTATCAAAATTTAATTAACCATTGAAGTGAGGGTTTATTTCTGGAGGTGTATTCTGTTCTATATATCAGTGTGTCCTTCCCACAGTAACACTCCATCTTGTTTTCTGTACCTTCATAGTGGGTCTAGACATAAGGTAGTGTGATCAATATCCTTTATCTTATTCTTCAAATAGTTCTGACTGATGATTTTGTAAAAAAAAAGTTATGTATCTGCTTAAAATGATTGTAGAGAGAAGGAGAATGGGGGAGGGGGGGAGAAACAGGGAGGTGGAGGAGGAGCTCTTTATGTCCTGGCTCATTATTGAAACGTCAGCAGGAGCCATGACTAGGCCATGGACCAGGAACTCCATGCAGATCTCCCACGTGGATGGGGAGAACTCAAGTCCTTGGTCACCATCCACTGCTTCCCAGATGCATTATTGGGAAGCTAGTGTGGAAGAGGAGTACCTGGAATTCTAACCAGGCACTCCAGTAGGCGACGTGGAAGTCGTAAGCAGCAGCTCAATCTGCAGTTTCACAACTCCTTCCTCATTTCTACTTTTTCACATATGTCAGAGAATCAGCTTGCTGATTTCTAGAAAGAAGTGATGGTGGGGGTAGGGATTAGGTTGGAATTTTGCCTGGAATTGTTTTCAGCCCAGAGATACAAAGTATTTTATTCATTATCAGCTGATGGACGTTTAGATAGTTTCAAGTTTTAAAACTTGAAATCATACTATTGGATCATACTATTGTGAGCATCAACTGAACATATATTTTTCTTATTAGAACAACTGGATCAAATGACAAATCCATGCTTAAGTTGTTTTTTTTTTTAAGATTTATCTTATTTTATTGGAAAGGCAGATATACAGAGAGGAGAGACAGAGGAAGATCTTCCGTCCCATGATTCACTCCCCAGGCGGCCGCAACGGATGGAGCTGAGCTGGTCCAAAGCCAGGAGCCTCTTCCGGGTCTCCCAATTGGGTGCAGGGTCCCAAAGCTTTGGGCCGTCCTTGACTGCTTTCCCAGGTCACAGGCAGGGAGCTGGATGGGAAGCGGGGCTGCCAGGATTAGAACTGGCACCCATATGGGATCCCAGGCGTGTAAGGCGAGGACCTTAACTACTGCGCCATCGTGCCAGGCCCCATGCTTAAGTTTTTAAGAGCTCCTACCAGTTCTCCACAGCACTTGCTTTATTTTGTAAATGAGTATAATTTCATGCATGAGGATTGTAATATATCTGTACTCTCACTGACACTGCAATTACAGTCTTCCAGCATTCAGTGATCTGTCATGAGGGCAAGATCTGGACTTCTCTGATGGCTAAGGATAGGGAACACTTTTTCATGCACTTACTGTGGCTCTTTGTATAATTTATCTGGAGAAATGATTACATCCATTATTTGTTTCTGCATTCTTTGAAGTGGATATGCAGTTGTCAGTGCAGTTTGTTGGAAAGGTGACGACTTCCTCCCATTGAATTGTTCTGGCTCTATTGCTGCGAATCCGTCAGTCATAAATACAAGTTCATTTCTGGACTCTCAATTCCACTTATCTGTACCATGTGGTTTTTGTCTTTTATTCTATTGATAATATATTATTACCTCAATTGAGTTTCAGATGCTTAGCTGACCAAATGTAATAGAATGCCAGTCCACAATTTGCATAATTTTGTGTTTAGAGATTAAGTATAGAGGAGAGAAATGCCCTAGAAGAGAAGCTTCTCATGTATTCACAAGATATATTAGGCAGTTGAAGGTTGGGATGAGAGAAGTAGCCAAAGGTGTCTACCACAGTACACAGAATAATTTGGTTGTTTCTTTCTCAAAAGTGATCTCACGTTGTGTTATACTGAAGGCAAAGACCCCTTTTAATTCATCCATCCTATTACACAACTGTGAGCTATATTGGGGAAGATGAAAATCACTAAAGCAGATAATTTCTAACTTTATAGTGGGATAATCAACGTTTGTATATCTGGGCTACTGGATTGTGACATAGCTGCAGAGTAAGAGCTGACTTACATCTGTGAGGCCAATAAGACCTATTAAAGAAATGACTAAAGAGATTGGAATTTCCACAAGGAGCTTGTTATCCCTCCCCATCAGTGCCACTGCGCCTTTTCTGGTTCTGGTCTCCCATATCTCTGGGAAACTATGCTGTAATCTATTATTCTTGAATCTGCTGGGTTGTAAATCTCTATTGCAAGTGTGTCTTGGAGTGGTTAAAACTATATGTGTCTTCATGACTAAAACTTCATCTTCAGCATCACTTGCAAATGCCATTCCTGCTAATAAACAGCCATCGACAGATAATTTGGCTTTGTGTGTCTGTGATCTGCATCACATGGACCATTCCCTCTTAGTTTTGCCTGGGGCGCAAGTGCTATTCTGGACCCTGTGTTGTCTGAAGATGACCACACCATCTAAGTCTAGGGCTCTTGTTTCTATGACGTTTACTTTTCTATATTCCTTGGGAGTTGGGGTGGTGCAGATGGAGAATTTGGGGAGAGGTTTGTTAAAGAATTTAAATTTCAGTCAGATAGTAGGCCTAAGTTCAAGAGACCTATTTTATGGCATAATGATTATAATCCATAACAATAAATTATAGACCTAAGGGATCATTAAAAAAAAAAACAAGCTAAAAAACAGAAGAAAAAAATGGTGGTTTGCTTGGAGCATAAGATAGAAGAAAAACAAGGAAGGAAAGAAGTCACTTTCCTGAAATGTGAGTAAATCCTGAGACTAAAATGGAAGTGGGGTTTTGTGACTTCTAAAACTTGATGATTAAAAAAACTTGATGATTAAAAAAATAAGCTTTAGGGAAAGCTAGGAAGTCAACTACCTTGAAGTTACTGTCCTGGGGAAAGATTTTGGAGGGATTATATAGAAAGAGAAAAAAGAGAGGAAGAGAGAGATGAGAGAGAGGAGGGGGACAGAGAGAGAGGGAGGGAGAGAGGAGATGGAAAGGGAGGGGAGGGGAGACGGTGTGAGTTCTGCAGACAATCAGTAGACGTGTGAGGGAGGGAGCCTTCAGATGCCCAATGTCCCACATTCGCTGTGTGCCAAGGAGAGCCCAGACCGAGTGCAGCAGAGGCAAGGGAGCCCTCTCAACTGTCATAATTGCTACCCTTCCAAAGTTAATAAGCATAACAAGTGACTATTGTATGCTTCTGTAGTTTCAGGCAATAGATAACTTGAAACAGATGATCATGTGACCTAGGGACAGCCAAAATACAGAAATGGGAGGTGGTTTCCTGTGAGATGTTTGTGTCTTAAAGAAAATTAGATTTTTTTTTTCTTTCTGAAATGTTAACTGAAAATACAAAGAAACACAGCATTGGGAACAGCGGCATAAAGACACTGAAGGAGAAAAGCCAGTGACTGGAGCTCGGAACTCTAACCCCTAGTGAATTAAAGAGTAATAACAAGCAGAGCAGGATGTAAGGTCATTAACTGGCAGTGACAAAGGACAGAGAAAAGTTAACGAAGTATGATGAAAGAAGGAAATGGCTAAAAGTAAGGGTGCTAGAACAAAGGCTTAACTGAGTAGAGGCTCTATACTAGTAAACAGATATTTTTTCAGATATTTTTTAAGGAATTGTCAGCACAGCGTTTGTGGCTTCAAATTCTCCCATGAAGTCCAGCTGAAGGTCAGTGATTCTTGCTGTGATTTTAAAATCTAGTCTTACCAAAGAACACTGTTGTTTAACAGGATTTTTCTTTGTTACTAAAGAAGGTCTTGCTGACAGCCAGGCTCTTAACATTTCGTTTACACTGAGAACAACTGTGTGTTGCATCTCTTGATGCGATGAAGAACCGGGTAGACAGAGCTCCCTGTTTACACGTCCACACCTTCCACTTCTTTTTTGCAAGGTTCTGGCACTTGACATCTTTTGTAACTAAGTTAACATGTTGCTTCATAACTGTGATCCCAAAACTCTCAACTCCATAAGGACATGAACTGTCTTTTGTTTGGTGTTACATTGCCAGAAGCTAGTTAAGGGAAAAGCTTTCAGGCAGGTTGGAAGTCTGCTCAGAGTTGGAATATCTGGATTTTGAATTCCCTCAGTGTCACAGCACATAAACAGGCAGAGTGTTTTACATCTTTTATACCTGTTTTTTCTTTGTCCAGGGAGACAAGCAGGCATAGAACCAGCCTCTTTAGAGCAGTTCTGGTGACATGGAGAACAGAACTGAATAAGTGAACATTTTTTAAGATCTGGCAGGCTTCCTGACACAGTGGAGTGTACTATCCATGTCATGCTACTCTGAAGCTGGGCCCCCCACAGGGTGTCCCTGACTCCACTGTGGCTGGGATTGGGCGCAGGGTGTCTGTTCACAGGTGAGTTTTTGGATTCCTCACCTGTGTCTTTCTGCCCTTGGCATCTTTTCCTCCAGTCACTGTCGCCCACTTGACAGCCTTGCACTAGCATGAGTGTAATTCCAGAAAACCTATTTAAGACATAATTGCAAACTACCCAAGTGCCACAAGGTTTCCCTAAGCAAAAGTCATGGACCCAGTGCCGTAGAGATCACAGCTGAGCTTTGGTGAATCATTTCTTTTCATTTTTTCTGTGCTCATTTTCATGATGAGTGCAAACGTTTCTCTTAGGAGGAAGCATCCTCTGGACTTCTCCAAATGATTTGCTTTCTTTGTATTCCATGGAGTAAATGAACCATAGCTTTCTTATCCAGTCTTCTGTTGATGGGCATTTTGGTTGCTTCTAAGATTTTGCAATTATTGATTCTACACATGTCCAACAGTTTCATCGGGAATCCATCTTTCATGTGGATGCAGGGATGCATGTTCCATTATACCCCCACGTCTGTAAATGATAGACCCCAGTATTCCATTACTATATATTACCTTAAGTGAGAAGCCAGGAAACAAGGTCAACAACCGGTATGAGTTAGAACAGCCACATCAACAACAACAACAACATCAACATCAACAACAAGTTACAGCACCTTGAAAAAAATAACATACCACTGAGTAACGAACACAAGAGTGACAAAAAGGAAACACAGAAATCTCTTGGGAAAAATGATGCCATCATATACTTCATGAGCACGGGATGAATTCAACTAGAGATACTTTTTTAATCTATTTGTTATATGCCAGAATTGGTATGTAACTAGGTTTACTCTTAGGAATTGGCCCCTGCAGATCCAGGGAAGTGCCCCTTGTCCTCTTTAAGGCCTGTCATTGCCAGCTCTACCAACCAGGCCTTACTCATGAAATGGAAGACAGAAAAGGTAAAACTCTTCATCGTTTTATCATTACAATTTCCAAGTGTTCTATGGTGCACAAATGGCTGTACTGCAGAATGAGGAGTGTTTTCACTTGTTTTATGCTGCTATAACAAAATAACCAAGGCAAAATTATTTGGACATCTGCCAAGGGCCCCTCAGTTATAAACTTACAGGGAACCAGCTGCATTCAGAAGAGAGAGAAAAACCACTTTGTGAGAGAGGAAGCAAGTGACCAGGGAAGGGACAGGTTAGCCCTTTCCATAACATGCTCTCTCAGAAACTAAAAAACTGGTATACCAGACCTATTCCTGGGAGACAATATTAACCCATTCTAGAGGGTGGGGCCTAAGGATCATATTACCTCCCACTAGGCCCTGCCTCTTAAAAGTTCTACTGTCTCAGTACCACCTCTTTGGGAACTAAGACTCTAGAGCATATCTGTTGAGGATCAGATCATATCCAGGCTATAGCAAGGATTCACATTCAAACAGGACTGTTATGACAATGCAACTCCCTTGGATGAGGATTCTAGATCCTTTTAATACAAAGCAAGAGAAGCAGTTTGTGTTATAAACTTTACAAGTCCCATGGTACCTTGGGGACACTAATTCCTCTTCTGTTGGGTACAGGTGTTTAATGTAATTGTACCTCTCTGTGGAATATTTACTATGAAAAATGTCAAACATACAGAAAAACCAGTAAACATGGGGTAATTGACATCCATATACATACCATCTGGGTTCAGCAACCACTAATGTTTTCCTATGTAACTTTATCAAGTTTTTAAAAAGTGAACTATAGACATCAAGACGTTGCTTCCTTAAACATTTAATCTTGTGTATTATGAAATTGAAGATATTTTCCTATATTTCCACAAGCCCATTCATGGCATGATTCTAGAGTCCTTCCAGCTCTGGGAGTCTTAAATTTAGCTTTCACGGAAGACATAGAAGACAGAACAGAGACAGATATGTGAAGTACATACAACTTGAACTTTGAATGTTCTCATGAATACTGATTACTTGAACAGCCATTGTATTACAATATCTCAAGGAAAAACTATCTTAGCTGTGATTAGCTAAGACCCCTGAGTTATTTTTCCCTTAGAGTTCAACCCCACCCTGCCCCTATACACACACACACACACACACACACACACACACACACACACACACTTGCCACATGTTTTGGGGACTTCATTTTTAAAAGATCAGATTATTGATTTTTCTTGGGATTACTGCTTTGCTTGGTTAGGTTATGGCTTGCTCTCAAGGGATACTAATAACTCCTAAGACTACTGTGACCATCCGTGGCCACAAATATTAGGACAACGTGACCCTGTTCTGGTGCCAAGTTCCTGAAGTATGAGAGGAATGTAGGAAACATGGATGAGAATGAATGAAATCACAGTTAATCTGGGGAAGCCATCCGGGTAGTGAATGTGTAATTTGGAAAGCTGAGGATTTGACTTTTCTGCATGCCTAATCAAAATGCAAGTTCTTTCCTATCAGGCATGCATTGGTTAACACAGATTACACAGTTAAATATAAGACATGGACTAGTCTGGGAATGGCTAAAAAGAGCCATTGATCATAATTATTAGAAAATCAATTGTACTACATTCTGAATGTCTCATCTTTTTTCCTGAATGCTTCATTTTTTACATGTAATATATTATACCACATGTTAAAAATTCTTTACCTGAGGAAGTTCAGCAGCTTCAGAGAAACCATCCATGACTCTGTGAAATGGCAAACATGAATAGATGAAGTGAATGTGCAAAATCTTGTCCATTGTCAGATCCAGGCAGTGAGTATATCAATGTTCTGCACTTGAAAATTTAAAAACATTACTCTGCAAGATCTGTTTGCTTGGCAGGAGAGGAAATTGGTACACATAGATCAATAAGTTGATGAATATAGTAGACAGAGAGTTTGATGACATATTGCTTTGGACCAGAAAAGCTGCACTTAAAATGCATTTGGTCTTCTCTTGTGCACATTTTTTCTTTTCTATTTGTTTAGTTTATTATTCCATGATACGGTTCCGTAAACTGGGATTTCCCTTTCCCCTCCACAAGTCTCTGCCCCCACTGTTTCCCCCCATATCAATACAATAGTATAGCCCTTCACAGTCAAAAGTCCTTAATTCTGCTATTAAGTGTATCATGACATTTTAGGCATAAACAATGGCAGAGAGTCCAGTATCCTATTGTCAAGATACATTCAATGGTTTGATTGGGAGTCCAACTTTATTTTGTAAATAGGAATGCACACAGCATTGTATCTTAACATCTGTATGGTGATAGTCTCTACATCATAGTTACTATACCATAAAAGCCATAAACATACAACAGAGAAAAATATAAAGCTTACAACAACATGAAATTAAATAACATGCTACTGAATGACCAATGTGTTGCTAAAGAACTAAAAAAGAAAAAAATTTTACTGGAAATTAATAAGAAAAACAAAAATGTGTCTGGCATGGAGGCCTAGTGGCTAAAGTCCTTGCTTTGCATGCATTAGGATCCCATATGAGCACTGGTGCTGGTCCCAGCTGCCCCACGTGGGAGACCTGGAGGAAGCTCCTGGCTCCTGGCTTCGGATCAGCACTGCTCTGACTGTAGCAGTTACTTGTGAATCATCGGACAGAAGACCTTCCTCCCTGTCTCTCCTTCTCTCTATATATCTGACTTAGCAATAAAAATAAATCTTAAAGAAAACTTTTTTCAATGATTATGTACATTTTTAATGTAGCTTAATTGCATAAATATTCATAATTGCTAATCGCAGCAACATCCAAGTTTCATTAGAGAATGATATGTGTTGGTGGAACAAAGTATGCAAAGGACAGAAGACTGAAAGAAACTTGTGGTTAAAAACTTACCTACATCATTCCACAATGGGATTTAGAAGCCCTGAAATCAAAATAAATAAAACACTTTAAAAAGCAATCAGTTAAATAACAGTTCAGACATAAAAAAGCAAAAGCTAATGTATCTATTTTTTCTTTGATACTGCAAAATCGTTGCTAAAAGGAATATGCATAAAAAAATTTAAAAAATGGAGTTATATCAAGTGCACAATTTAAAATAGACAATATTTTGTTTTTATATTTATTTTTATTTATTTTATTTATTTTTAATTTTATATTTTGGTTTGTTGTGATTTTTCTTATTTAAAGTAATTTTAACTGTCTTGTCTAGTTTTGAAAGTGTAATTTTTGATCCCAAAGGAGGCTGCACAATTCTATACACTACAAGAATGAGAATTGGTCACTGTTAGTCACTCTAATTTTATACAGTCTTCAAACAGAAAACTGATACTTCTGTTTTTCAAGATGATTTTTTTCTAGATTTTAACTTAATAGCAAAATGAATGTGATGCCACAAATTCAAATATTTTAATATTTTAATAAGGAAATTGAAGCTTAGAAATATGGCAGTTTCCCCCAAATGAGATATGAGGCACCAAGAGTGTAGTGGTCCAAGACCCGAGCCTTCTGGCCCTATTCTTTATTACAATATTATGATTTCTCTTTAGTAAACAAACATACAAGTGATCTAAATAAGATATTGAAAATATAATCATGATGACAGGATTCTGTCAAGTATATTCCATTAATTTACCCAGGCATATCAACGATTAATATTTACCAAACAATCAATAAAAATTAGGGATTCTGGACTGCATGGTCACAGTGGCAGGATTCAACACTAATACTGGATATGTTCGAGTTGATGGCCCTTGTATCACTGCGTGTCTGTGTGTGTGTAGGGGAAAGATCAATTGACTTCTGATTCTAAGGAGTTGTCTCAGGTGAGTGAAGGCTGAGATTTCCCACAATACACAGTTTGAAGACCTGAGATCAGAAAAGCGGAGACTTTATTCATGGTTACGTTCTCCCATTGCTCATGAACTACCCAGAATATAGTTGTGCATTCTTCAAAACCAAACCTCGTAACACTGATAATTAGTAACACAGTCTAAGCTGGCAAACAGAAACATCCACACTTATTTTCATTTTTTAAAGGATTTTATTTTTACTGGAAAGGCATACAGAGAAGGAGGTACAAAGAGAAAGATCTTCCATCTGCTGATTCACTCCCCAAATGGCTGCAGTAGCCAGTCCATATACTTAAGCAGACCTGGAAAACACTGTATTTCCTGAAATCAGTGCTTTGTAAAGACATATTCCTAAAATAATTTAACCCTCTAACTCGTAAGTTTGAAAGTGGGATACCAAGTAACAATTTAACCAAATCAGAGCATGATTTTAGAATGGATGCGGGTTGCTTGTTTCACCCATCCTAAAATTGATACTTTTCTGTTACTAGAGATTCTCAAAGAATTGTTCAACTGAAAATTTGTTTAAAGTGGTGTCTCACAAATGAGACAAATGAGTGGTTTCTAATTATATATGTAGAGCTAAGCCAGAAGTTTGATAAATTTGCATAGGTCTGCAAAATTGAATGTGTTGGAAAGTTCCTGTGAGAAGCGTCTTCTTAATTTTCACCTTGTATTTTAGCACATGTTGGCTTATTGTGATGTATAGCAACATTTTACATGGAGGCTTACACTTAAAGCAGTGCTTTAGCATGCGTGCATGCTTTTAGTTACCATTTGATGGTGCTGAGATGTATTCAAGCAGTAATTAGGAGAAAGACAGCTTGAGGCACCTAAATTATCTGGTTCCAACTGGCCCTGTCTAAGCACATTCTTTTGGAAAATTAGTGAAAGAATCAGCTTTGTTTTGTGACTGTGCTTCTCTAATTAAAGAAAGCAATGCTCACCAGAATTTTGGTGTGGACTAAGAGAGAAAGAGCTAACCATTTCACCATAAGTGCCTTTAATTTTCTGGTGGTTTTATTTTGGTTTCTTTTTAGTTGCTGGTAGGGTGTGGTTATTATTTTCTCGTAGTGGTATTATATGTATATGGCTTCTGACTCTAGAGGACACACACTCCCATGGAACCTGTGTGGTACTTTGTTTTTGGTGTCCAAACCCAAAAGACATCTTCTGGCCCTTTTGGGCTTCCCAAAGATACTCCTTGCTTTCTTTTCTTCATAGTCACTGGGCAGAATCTCATCTAGAAGCTAAGCAAGAGGGGTTAAGTAATCTAAAACAAGGAAATCAAAACTTTGCCTAAGAAGCTAAAAGTCTGAAGGTAGAAAAAAAGGGGGGACTGGAGGACAGATTCAATACAATTTTCAGAATATCCCATTCTTTTATCCTCACCCTAACATTATTTTGCTTGGAGCCTTCATGTCCTGGGTATGGTATATCCTTAGCTGTGCCTCAGCCCATTCTTCCTATTCTTTTTCAGGGAGTCACAGACTGAAGCCTGAACTCTGCTGGCACCCATGGCAGTCTCATGCAGGAGGGCACGGTGTCAACATTGTTTAATCTTTGCAAATGTGGTATGGCAGGATCTCAGCTACATGGAAGAACTTAGCACTAAATTAGTGAAGCTTCATTTCCTCCCAACACCTCACCCAAAAGCAGCCCGTTTTAGACTCCTGGCAGGAGATGGCCATTTGATCTAGCAGGTAAGATGTCTGTGTTCTCTATTGTAGTACCTGGGTTTGTGTCCCTGTTCCAAATCTGTGACTTCAGCTTCCTCTTACTATGGTTTCTGGGAGACAGCAATGATGTCGCAAATGATTGGGCGCCTACCATCTATGCAAGCAATCTGCAGCGAGCTCCCAACTCCCAGCTTTGCTGTAAACATTCAGGGAGTGAATTAATATCCATCTCTGTGTGTCTCTGTTTAATAAGTGAATAGGTAGGTAGATAAAATTTAGATGTCAGGCTGTACAAATTCTCTATAATAACCCATAGTTCTTCTTAACTCATTAACACAGCATTTTTTATTATGCTTTAAGCAAAGTGAACTGATTTTTCAAATTCCTTGCTGTCAGACTAAGCATAAGGTTTTCAAGTTATTTATAATTGGAAACTTTGGGTAGAGAAACTGTAGTATTTGAGTAAATGGTGGTAAAAGGTAAAACGTATGTAAAACAGATGTAGCCCTCAATTGCTTGCCAAGATAAATCAGAACTTCATCTTGTGATTCAGACAATGGGACATCCTACACAGATGTGTGTAGGCTGACAAGGAGTTTTCTGTGTAGCTAGACAATTTTTAGAATGTGAGATTCTACTTTCCAAAATGCAATCCAGCTCAATTCCCAAAGCAAATGTCTCTACCCAGGAACACTTGGGAATGAAAATGACTTTGTGATTCATGCATCAAGTAGAAACAAAATAATTTGAAACTTTGGAGACAGTGTCCTAAGGAAGAACAGAATTTCATCACTTAATATGCGATCTTGTAAAATCTACTAAAACCTAAGTTGGGTTTCAGTTAAGTAAAAAGCACTTGGGTTGAAATGCCAGTATTCAGCATGACAATGAAATGAAATAAAGCTCAGGTTGTATGAAAGGGGAGCCTTTAAACCTCAGCATAATGTTGAAAGGAGCAAGAATCTAGCAAGAATCAGTTTCTAATAAGGATGGCCATAGAGCTGGGAGGGAATTTTGATGTGATAGAACACATTTAACTTTATGTCATGGGGATTTCAAATGTTTTAATTCTTCTTATCCAGCATGGTTAAACAAGAATAGAAAGTGTTACTTTGTAATCCATTGGATTTTCAGAGAATCTATAGATGGTGAATAGTGTCCCTGTCTCCTCTAAACTTTAATACAGTGTATCCTTCTTTCTTTTTTCCTTTTTTTTTTTGTAATTTTAAATTTTGTGATATAGTTCCTTAGGTAAGGGTTTTATCTTTCCATCCTCCATATTACTGGTCCTGCCCCCCCCACACACAGTTTGCCCCTTTATTATTACAATAGTATAGTCCTTCAGTAACAGTCACATGTCCATCATTCTTCTGTTTAAGTGTATCATAACATTTTAGGTATAGACAATAGTAGAGAGTCTAGCATCCGTTTGTCAAGATATATTTAAACGTTTCATTGGGAATCCATCATTTATTTAGGTGCAAGGATACATGCTGCAATGTATCTTCACTTTTAAGAGAGATTTGCTCAATGTTCATACGTTATGAAGGACCGTGCTTTAACATCAAAAACAAAAACAAAACCAAAAACTACATAAGAGGAAAGCCACTCACAGGATACAAATCAGTTATCTGATTCAACAACGAACTTCTCAAACCAGGAAAGCTTTGCAAATAGTGAAGTTTAAAGCTAGTGCTCTGTTCATGCCTTCAAACACTGTTAATACTAGAGTTCCAGCAATATAGCCCTCTTGTGGAAGGGTATTTGAAAACTTCAAGCTATTTTTTCAAATTAAATCTCCCACTTTTACATTTTAAAATATTTTTAAAAGGATTTGCTAGACTATTGCTGGAAAGGCAGATCAGATTTATGGTGAGAAGGAGAGACAGAGAGAAAGATCTTTCATCTGCCAGTTCTTTCCCCAAATGGCTACAACTGGAATTGAGCTGATCCAAATTCAGGATCTCCTTCCAGGTCTGCCATGTGGGTGCAGGGTCCTAAGGCTTAGGGCCAGTCTCTGCTGCTTTTCCAGGCCACAAGCATGAAGCTGCACCAAAAGTGGAACAGCCAAAATATGAATCATTGCCCACACAGAATTATGGCACCTGCAAGGTGAGGATCAAGCCAATTAAGCCATCACAGTTTGCCCTACAATTTGAAAACTTTAAATATCCCTGGAAGCAAACTGTAGGTTGTATTGCATTACACATTACTCCCAGTTATTGAATGATGACATGGGAATAGGAAACAAAAACCATTGAGCTCAACCTGATGATAAAATAACACAGAGACAATAAAGAGTAATTACATTTACTTAATTTTAACTCAGTAATAATATTGAGCTCATGAGCAGAGATAGCATGCAAAGCATTATGTTGCAGGTGAGACAAAAAATAAAAACTGAACTGTACTTGGACCAGTTGATCAATGTGCTACTGTTGAGATTTTTAGTTTGTTGGTTTCTCTTTGTTAAGAGCATATTAGCATGCAACTAGTTCAATGGAGTTGATTTGTGTTCTTTTATGTAGGCAACCAGGACCTGTATTTCCCCAGTTTTCTGCCTGCCTACTTCTAGGTTAATGTTATATGCAGTAGACATGGCACATAAGATTTGATAGGCACAAGTGAAGTTAAAGACATGTTCTTTTATGTCTGGAGGCTGAGTTGAGGGCATTGCTCTGTTGGCATCTGTCCCATCTGCCTGATCATCTGCTGCTGACGTTGTGCATGATCTGCAGCATCTCCAGTTCTTGCTGACTCCTGGAAGGTGCCCGCTGAGTTCTGTGAGAACCTGCACCTCCTTCGCTCAGGCCACTTTGTCACACTTTATAGTAGCAAAGCATTTTCACATTGTTTTGTGATCTTATGGGTTTTGTGATTATCTTAATGGATAATCCAAAATAACAGAAAGTCTAGTCAGTTGGTTGCAATTTCCTCACGAGACACCAACCTCATTGAAGTTGGAGGTGGCAAGAGGTGGACTACATTTCTCCTTTTTTGTTGCTTTCTACAACTCATGCCAATTTTTCTTTACTCATGGGTTACTCTGCAGATGTCAAGCCCAGAATCAGATGCTAAAGCAACAGTCTTACAAAATTTGAGAGTTCCACAGTGGGTAAAATTAAACTTTTTTCATAACTCCATTTACCTACTCACTACAATTACTGTCCTTTTCTTGTTGATGACAAACATTGATATATACCTGTAAAACCTGACAGATATATTCAGAAAATGATTTTAAATGAGGGTATCAATTATTGATGATAGAGATAACATTCTTGCATTTTGCCAAAGTAAATTCCAGCCAAATCATTTCTCTTTGTAGTTTATTAAAATTAATGATGTAAAAGCTTTTAAAAGTAGTTTTGTGTTCTGCACTTAGAATATAGGCCGAAGTAACAAAAACTCATGAATTAGTTGATATTTCACTAAGATTTTCAGAATAGATCCTTTTCTAGTAACAGCATGTAGGTTGACAACTTACTTTCTACAAAGATATCAGAGAAATGAAAAAAATTCAGCATCTGGATAAAGTGACTCTGTCCTCTTTCTAATTTTTCAGAGTTAATTGGGAAGGACATTGATCTGTTATAGCAGAAAAAAAAGTGTGTCTCATGTAAGAGATATAAGGTCTGAGAACATCATTTTTCATTCCAAGGCATCAGCCATTTTTGCAAATATTGGTAGAAAGATGGTAGATTCTAGAAAATACATTTGTTCAGGAAAACAGAGAACTATGAACTGAGTTAAAAGTGTAGAGTATTATGGAAGGATTTCTGTAACTAATAAAAGCCAACTCAGATGCTATTGAATTGAAGAGGAGAGTTTATTGGAATGAAGATTTTCTTTTCATATACAATCCAGCAATAGAAATATAGTCCTCATCTTTCTCTCTCTCTTTTTCTGTCATTCCTGGTCTCTGTCCCTGCTCCCTCTTTCTCTATCTTCCTCTTTATCTTTTTCCTTCTCCCTTTTCTCCAATCTTCAGGGTACTTTTTGCACTCATTCCAAGTCTATGTGACCTTTCAGTTTGACTGTCACTGACCAAGTTATTAGGGGTTTTAAACTCAACAATTAGGAATTTGGATTGACTATGCAAGTGGAGATTTTTACTTTCAGTCCAATTACCTTGTGAGCAGGAAGCAAAATACAAACATAGCTGCCAATGGGGCAATGGGTGGACTTTTTCAAAGAAGGAGTTGGAATAAATGTCTTATGATGCTTTCAATTATATGCTATTTTTCTTCAACACGCAATGGAAAACAGAGAGACACATTGCTTTTTTAAATCGAGATTTAAGTAACTTTATAGTGCTCATGTTTACATTATACTGATATGTTTAAGAAACTGAACTCCACTTTAGATGTGAGCATTATTTAGAACATGTTTTTGGGAAACCACATCTTTTATTAATAATTGCTACAATATTATTATTAGACATAGCCATTATGTCTTTTGACGTTTTTGTATTATAAAATAATTAGAAATGCTCATGCTAAATAAATGTGAGGTATTCTTATCAATCAGGAATAAAGGATTTCAAGTCCTCTTTTCAAGGTACGGTCATGTAAGATTTCATAGCATGATTTTACCAGTAGAACTGATTCTTCCTTCTGAGTAATAGAAAAACCTTACGTTCTCTGAATGTTAATGTAAAGAAAATATTTCTTTTAACATGAATTCATAAGCCAAACAAGTGATACACTTCTGACAACTATGAGAATTCTCATATTTGGAATGAGAAATGACAAAGTGTAAAAATGATAATGGAATTGCAGAATCCTGCAAGTCGAAGGGGCTTTAAAGAACATTTAAATATTGAGTGTTACATTCCAGCACCTCCAGTTTTCAGGTAAAGTAATGGAAGATTTTGGGTGGGTCTTGGGAGAGGATGCAGCTTGGGATCCCTGCATCTCACATGACAGTGCCTGGGTCTTAACTGCAGCCCCATTCCTGCCAGGAATGTGGAAAACTGAGTTGCTGGATCCTGGCTTCACTTGTTCAGCCTTGACTGTGGCAGACAGTAGTGGAATTTTTCAACAGATAGGTGTACTTCTACATTATTATTTTAATATATATTTTAAAAGTTTTTTTAATTAGATAGTTGGATATACAAAGATGAGATACAGAGAGAAATATCTTCCATGTGCTAATTCACTGCTCAAGTGGCTACAGCAGCCAGAGCTGAGCTGACCTTAAGCCAGGAGCCAGAAGACTCATCTGGTCTCCCACTTGGGTGCAGTGTCCCAGACTGGGCCATCCTTAACTATTTTCCTAGGCCAGAGCAGGGAGCTATAGGGGAAATTGGGCAGCTGGGATATGAACCAGCACCTATGTGGGATCCCAGTGCATGCAAGGTGGGGACTTGAGCCTCTAGGATACTGCACTAAGTCCTACTCTCTTCCACTTTTAGAAAGAAGTGGAAGACATGCTAAGATTAGGCATATTTCTAAGTATTAGTTTGTATTTGAGTCAGGATTTGGCCTTGTAGTTGCAAATACAAGCAAGATTTTGTTATAAAAAGTATATTAGGCATTTAACATCATTTCTTTATATGTTTCACAACTATTTTCCAACCTGTATTTCAATATAACCATATTATTTAAGGATAAAAGAGAGATAAATTCATTGAAACTTCTGTCTATACAACCTGAAAAATGTATTCGGTTATTTATGCTTGTTTTCACCATAAAGTGTTATTTGGTATATGTTTTTAATGAATTTAATTGATTTTATTGAGTATGATTTTAAGATTTGTTGATGTAACTGTTGGTATCATGAACTTTCACCAAATTAACTTTGTAGATTTCAAAAAGGAAGAGAAAGGCTAAATCCTCACCTTGACAGTACCAGGATGCCATATGGGCACCAGTTCATGATCTGGGCACTGTATTTCCCCGGTCCCCTGCTTCTGCCCTGGGAAAGCAGCTTAGGGCAGCTCAGGCCTTGGGACACTGCACCCGTGTGGGAGACCCAGAAGAAGCTCTTGGATCCTGGCTTCTGATGGGCTCAGACCTTTATAATCATGTGCAAAATGAACCAACTTATGTAAGATCATTCTTGTCTCCTTTTCTCTGTAAATTTGTCTTTCCAATAAAATAAATAAATCTTAAAAATAATCAGACACCATTTTGTACAGTGTGGTGAAGACTGGAGGGACAACAGTTAGCTGTGCATGTGCTGAGCTGGGAGAGAACAGCCACAAGGTTCTGGCCAGATCAGCACCATTAAACACCTAGTTATTTAGGACACATGGTTTCTCCCTAATCCTGGGAACTGCTTGAACCAGAAGTAGGAGAAAGGTTGTACAGACAATGATGCAACCACAGCAGGGGATTACAGGAGGTAGGGAAGGTAGAGAGTGGTGAGCCAGGAACTGGGGCTTCAGAGACCATGGGTGAAGCCTAATATAAGATACTGGACATGAAACTTGATGGAGGGAGTGGCTCAAGTGACTGCAAACAAAAAACCAGGTATTAACTGCAATAAGTACACTCAAACTGTAGACCTGTGAGTGACACAGAAGAATGCAATAAGGCAAGTTAAAATAGTAATAGACTGGATCAAAAAGCAAAATCCATCTGTCTCTTGCCTACAGGAGACACATTTCACACACAAAGATCAGTGGAAATTATATTTAATGGATTTTAATGTTTTTATTTTCATTTCCATGAAACGGTTTTCTTCAATGGCACATGAATCATTCAGTCGCATGTTATTTAACTCCATGGAGTGTAAATGTAATTTTTGTTTCTGTTAATTTCGTTTTGTGACTTTTTGTTTAAGGGAATGTATAGCAACTGTAGTAGAGACTGTCATATTCAGATGTGAGGATACAATGTAGTATACCTCTGTACTTTCAGATGGAAGATGGCCTGCCAATGAAACTGTTAAATCTATATTTACAATCGGATGTTGGACTCTCTGCCCTTGTCTGTACCCACAATGATGGACTTATGACTTTATGAAGAACTATCATAATACAGGGGAAATCAGTGGGAAGAGACAGGATTTGGGAAGGGGGATAAGGAAAATTCCAGAATCTATGGAACTGTATCATAGCAAGAACAGCAGCAACAACAATGTAATAATAGTAAAAACAATAACAGTAATAAACAAAAATAAATATTAAAAAGTTAAAAAAAAGAGAAGATTGAGAATCTAAAAATGCCTACATTGTGACATACTGACCCTGAATACCAAGGACAAGGATCGTATATAACTTACCATATTTGTGTAAAATGTGGCAAGAACAGAAGAAAAGCAGAGAGGAGCTTCAATGTGTTCAAGGATCATATTTCACTCTTGTAATCTTATTTGAGTCTAAATTATTATCATTTTCTGAAAATCCCTCTAAATGGGTAATATTAAAAAGTTGTAACACTTTCAGTAGTTGAAAAATAGTCTTATAAGACTAAATATTTATAATTGTGCATCACAGGGAAAAGGCAGGAATCATTTTAATAATGAACCAATTTCAGTAATTTATATATTGCTTTTTCTTTCTTGGGATGCTATGTCTGCCTTTTCATTGGTGAAATCTATTAGGTTATTTGTAAACTTAAATTTCATCTAGGGAAAGCCCTTCATGTCTATTTATACTAACTTATACTTTCATTTGGCCTATGTATTAATTTATTAAATGCATTGAGTATGGTACAGTTTCCTGTGAGAATTTGAACCTCTGAATAAAATTATTTATACATTACGCTTATGTTGTGATTTATAGAATTGCAAATTATCACAGACATAAGGGATCACGGGAAAGTAGAACCTAGCTTTTTTGGAGTCTATACTTTACTCCAAGATCTCACTTGAAAGTCAGTAACTTCCCAAAATAAGATGAGTCACTGCACATGGTTTGAATATGTGTGCCTATAGAGGGAAAGTCCACATTGAAGGTGTTGCTGGATGGTGTGAATTCGGGAGCAGTTTTTTAACTTGTTTCCATCTTCATTTATCTAGTTTTTATAATCTGTATTATTGAAGAGAGGAAGAAAAATTGTATGCAGGACCAAGTACTCAGTTCTTTAAGTGAACTAATGGATGTATTATGTGACGAATAAGGCAGTCATGGTCATTGTTCTTTCATAATGGATTGAGCAAGCACCTACAATGCTGGATCCCTTATGGGTACTGGATCATGACCTGGCTATTCCACTTCTGATCCAGCTTCCTGCTAATGCACTCACCTGGGACACCTGGATGGAGTTCCAGACTCGCACCTCTGGTCTGTCCTAGCCTCAGTCCTTGCAACCATTTGGGGAATGAACCAACAGATTGAAAACCTCCTTCTTTCCCCATCCCCTCTTCCTCCTTCAATCTCCATAACGCTGCTATAGAAATGAACAAGTAAATATTTTTTTAAAAGAAGCAAGCCATTTTTACAAATTTTGCTGAAAGAACAGCCTTCACTTCTCTGTGGAAGTCAGGTGCAGGCCTTTCATAAAATCTCATACAAAGTCCTGAGATCTAACATGCCATGACTTGATCAACTAGGGCATCTGAATATCTGGTTCCCAGCCTCAGAGAGCAAATGTTAAAACTTACGAATACTTGACTTTTACTCCTTGAATATATAGCAGTGTATTTTATGTCATCTATCAGTATGGATTTTAACTAGTTAGAAATATGATCTCTGAAAAAAATGTAAAGAATCACCTGTCTTCATGGCTGTATTCCAAGAACCCTCTTCATAATTTATTCTTGGTACTAGGAGGAAACGTAGGCAGCTACCTTCTACTTGCCACTCTAAGTTTTTCAGAGGAAGGAAGACTCTTGCAAAAAAACAAAAACAAAAACAAAAACAAAACCTAGCTTTTATTTAATGGCAAGAGTCTTCCTCTGAAAAACGGGTCTGAGTCACTAATTTTCGTTCATGAAAACTTAGAATTTGGTGTTAGGATCTGATAAAGCAATTTAAGACAGCACATACTATCTAATTTCTAGTGGTTTTAATGATTTAATTTTAGAGTCTGATGCACTTTGAGTTTTTTGGCAACCAGGGAACATAACAGTACGGCAGACTAAGAGGAGTGAATTTCAGCTTAGAATAGTTGAGTAATATGTAATGTTATTGTTTGCTAGTTGGTACATTTTGTGGACTTTTTATAAAGTTAACAAAGTTGGGGTGATTTCCTACCTTATACTTTGTTGATATTGGGGTTTTTTTTGGCCAGGAAATATCTTTTAATTTTGAATTTTATGGTGCAGTTATGTAGGGTTTGAGATTCACCCCCATCAAATTCGCACACCCCTGACTGATTTTCCCCATATTGTTACAGTGGTATGGTCCTTCATAAGGAGTTATAATCTCAACACTCTCTTTTTAAAGTGTACCCCGACATTGCTTGCACAGACAATGTCAGACAATCTAGCATCCCATGATCTAGATATGTCCAAGAGTTTCACTGGAAGTCCATCTTTGATTTGGGAGTAGAGATGCATATTGCATTGTATCATCACATCTGGATATGGTAGTCTGTATTACTCCATCACTATACATTCCCTTAAATGAGGAGCCACTCAATAAGGTCAATAACAGGTATGACATGCTCACTATGCCGAATGCCTGTATCCTCAAATTATTTTTAAAACAGGTTTGTTACACAAAGATGTATGTAAAGAACATTTCATTATTTCTTTTTTTCATTTTCAGCACATTCCTGGACCTCAAGGAACAATAGGTTGTTTTTGTTTGATCTTTAGACACAACCAAAGTGTTATCACAGTGATGATTCTGTGAAAACTAGTTCATGTCATTTTACTTTGTAGGCTTTGGTGGTCCAGCTCATTGATCCAAAGAGCAACTTGGAAAGAATTGAGCCATGGATGGAGTATCCACCATCTTACTTAAGGCATCATTTTGGTTGGCTTTCGAAAGAGAGCTGCTCCAGGAGGCTTGAACTCGACCTCTGAGGTAAGGGCAGATGGTTGCACATTACAAAGGGAGAAGTAAATGAGACAGTTGGTGGGAATGACATCTGAGTTATCATTTGCTGAATTCATTCTTATAAAGCAGATGATTTTTACTGTGATCCTAGAATTTATCTGTTTCAGAATATAAATGTTAAAGGCATTCAGCATACATGTTTTAATGGTTAATAGATTTGTATACAAATGTAGCTTATAAATTTACATGAGTATATATTGTGTTGTGCTACTGCCTACAATAAAAGGAAAAATTATTTCTTCTTTTCTAAACAATACTTGACATTTTTAATAAATATACCAAATGGTGGGATTCATTTCTATCTTTGTTGAACCTCTTTAATATTTGGATTACAATACCATATAATGTAACAATTTCTTGCTATCTATTTTTTCATGTTTTTCTGTTATGTGCCATTTCTTTACATATTGTGAATGATCTTATCCTTACTTTTATTAACTTCATTTCTGACACATAGGGTGAAAATATTTTTCTTCAAATTATCACTTGTCTTTTGATTCCTTCTATGGTATTTTCATTAAGATGCTTAATCATCTTTATTTTTCTTTGTTTTATGTCTTTGTGATGTCAAACTATAAACTTCTCACTTCAAGGTAAAGATAACAGCTATTCTTATAATTTTCCTAGTATTATTTTATCTAATTAATTATTTTATGATACAGTTATAGGCTCTGGGATTTTCCTTTTCCCATTCCCAAATCTCCCTTCTGCCCCCACTGGTTTCTCCTAGATTATTACAATAATATAGTCCTTCATAAATAGTTGTAAGTCCATTGTTCTGCTATTGAAGTATATCCTGATACTGTAGTTGTTGAAACGGCAGAGTCCAGTATCCTATTGACAAGATACGTTCAACGATTTCATCGGAAGTAGAGGTGCATACTAAACTGTATTTTCACTTTGAATATGACAGTCTCTATTACATAGTTACTATACATCCCCTTAAATGAAAACCATAAAACAAAATCAACAACAGGAAAATAGAAAATTTACAACAGCATTATATTAAGTCATATGCTACTGAATTACCAATGTGCTGGTGGAGAAATGAAAAAGAAAAATCAACAGCCTTCTTAAAGCAAATGATGCTATTGTTTGACCTATGTTTGTGAGGAATGAAACCAACAACAGAAATACATGAAATGTGTCAAAAAACAGTATTCGAAGGGCTGTTGATCTTCTATTTTGCATTTAGGTTGATTTATATCAAGATAATACTATATTTGTCTTTTTGGAATTGACATATTTCACTGATCATAATGGTCCCTAGTTTGGACCATTTGGTTGCAAATGGTAAAAGTTTATTCTCTTTGATGGCTGAGTAGTATTCCATGGAATAGATATTCCAAAGTTTATCATTACTCTTTTGGTGGGCATCTGGGTAATTTCCGTGTCTTTTCTATTGTAGATTGTGAATTGCCTTTCCAGTTCTTTGTATCCCCCATTGTGGCAAGGAATATATCCCAATTGTGCAATTCTTTCTCTGCCTCATTCATTCTATTTTTCAGATTTTCCACTGAATTTTTTTATTGGCACTGTTGTGTTCTTAATGTCTAAGATATAAGTTTTCACTTGATTCAGTGCTGCTATTGCCTGTATGAGATATTCCTTAAATGCCTTAAACTCTTCTATGTGCTTCTCATTGTTGGTAAGAAACTTTATAGCAAGCTTTTAAAATTATTTGTTTCCCCCATTTCCTCAGTTAAATTTGAAGCTGGCGAAGAATTTTGCTCCTTTGCAGGGTGGGCATCAGTAATATTTATTGTGCCTCAGTTTCTTCTTTTGTTCCTGGCCATTGTGCTTTTGGTTAGAAAATTCTTCTCCTTAAGACAGGTTTCTAAGCTGTGTTGCCCACAGGCTTACTGGTAGGTTTTACTTACTGCAGTTAGTACCCAGTTCTTCATTGGAAGTCACTTGTGCCACTCCTTCCAGCAAGTTTTACTCCTGGTATCTTGTGCCAGGTTTCCACCATGGTCGCCATAGCCCCAGAACCTGGATCACCACTCTCCCATCCTCTGTGATCCTATGCTGTGGTGCACCATTTCCTGCACTGCCTTTATCCACCTCCTGGTTCAAGCAGTGCTTGAGTTTAAGAAAACAACAGATGTACTAAATCACTGGACGTTGCTCGTGTGGAATCTGCTGCCTCTTAGGTCTGAGGGACACCAGAACCTATTATTTTGTTTGGAATCTGCAGGATACCAAATCAGTAATATTTTTCCTGTGGGACCAGTGCAATATATTGATATGGAAACAACTTAGCTCACAGCTTAGCACACGCACAGCTCACTATTGTCCCTCCAGTCCCATAGACTTTGCCTCAGTACTCAAAATAGCAACTGATGTGGTACTGGTGTAGGTCTGGGTAGGCTGGCCTTTAGGTCTGGGGGCTGCCTGGACCTATTTTGGGTAGCACCTGTGCGGAAGTGAGCTTGTTCCTGGATCAGCACATGTATAGCTGGCTGTTGTCCCTCCAATCCTACAGCCTTTGCTTCAGTACACAAAATGGCACCAGATGTGGTACTGGTGGGGGTCTGGGCCATGAAATCCACCTTGTTTCTTCACCATGTGCTTAGGGTCTCCCACTCTGTCTCTGCTCCTGGTCAGATCAAGCAAATCAGTAGGATGGGCAGTTCTTTTTCTGGGTTCACCTGCTGAGCTCCTGGTGAAGTCCTCTTCCTGTGTGGCTGCTGCTGAAGCTCTGCTGATCTTCAACCACCTGTGGGTTATCTCATCACTGCAACACTGCTCCGTTGTTTCTGCTGCTTCCACATGTCCACTGGTGTCCAGGTCCCCCTCTGCTGTCGGCCTGTTTTTTCTTGTTTCCTGGACTCTGTCTTCTCTGCTTCACCCTTTCTAATTATTCTCTAACAGTTTAAACCTGTCCTCACCATAAACCACCATCTTGCCTCTCTCAACTCTCCTATTTTTTAAAGTTTTACTTTTTGTTCTTAAGTATAACCCTTGTGTAATTCTGAGATATTCTTATGCATTTGTTATTTAAATAGTTAGTTTTATTTTTGTCAAAATGAATAAATACATAGATTAGAGAAAAATTGATGTCATCAATCTTGAGTCTTCCTACAAGAGCAGAATGTGTCAAGGTTTTCCAAACTTTTTAAGGATTTATTTATTTATCAGTAGAAAAGCAGATGTAAGGAAAGAAAGAGAATATTCTATCCACTGGGTCATTCCCCAAAAGACCACACCTGCTAGAGATTTATCTGTTCCATCACTGGCCCAGTGTCCCATGTATTTCTTTTCCTTTAGGTCTTTTTTTAAACAATTCTTTCTGTAGTTTCTGTAAAGTTCTGATGTCATAGAATATATTTGTAGATTGGGAGGGTTTGACTCTGATCACATTCCCCATTCATGGTCAAACAGAGGTAACACTCTGTTTAGCTAGGTGAAGTGACTCTGTAATCATGAGCTTAGTGAGAAAGGAAAGGGGGCAGCACATGGGTTGGGGGTACATTCAGTCCAGTTCATCAGAGGGAGATTGGAAGGTGAGATGATTGGAATCCAGTTCTGAAGGAGGAGATGCTTAGCAGTTAGATCCTTGAAGTACGATTCTCGAAGAGAGAATAGTTAATCCATATTGTTAAGGCAATTATCTTCAGACATTAAATGAATTACTTACACTGTCTAGCTTTTTAGATTATTTGCATAGAAAATCATTCTAGATATTGTTATAGATATTTTATTTGGTATTTTCTACTTATTTTAATCCAGAAGTCAGTACAGTAAAAATGCAATAGCTATAAAAAATTAAGATTGTTGCCTACACCAGAATTTTTGTTCTATCCCTAAACTTTTCCCATCTATGTATTTCAGACCTTATCTTTCTTTAAACTTTTGTCTTATTCACTCCTTCCTGGACAATTTCATTAAAAATTAACAAATTGGAATGGAAGAACCCAGAATGTCTCAACATATCAGTGTCTCCCAAGTTTTATACCAACCTGACATTAATTTCAAAAATGCTTATTTTGCTATTTTATCGATATTTATTTCTGTTTATTTTGGTTTTGTCTCTTTTGAAACAGCATAGAGAAAAAATGGGAAAATAAAGATTTTAGAGTTTTTTTTTCCATAATGTATTCTGATATACATAGCTTTTTGTTTGGTCTTGATTCTTGTTAAATGCTTCTGCTCTGAAAATCTTGGCCCATGTTTTAATTATGGGGTACAAACCAATTAAAGTTTGTGAATTGTGAATATATGTTCAGAGATTTGGGATAAGGGATAAAAAAATAAATCAACGATTTTCACTTTCCTCTTTTGTTCCTAGCTTCAAGCTGGGTTATAATTAATGATTAATTGTCTCTTCATCAAAAGCAGAATGGTGGATGGTAATCTATAGCTTGATTTCTGTATACATTGATCCTTCTGGATCATTTCTGAGATTTTTCTTATGCTTAACAATGAATTAGGAATCCAAGTCAATTAGCAACTTAAGAAAAATCATAAGCATTAGATTGATTTTTATAAAGCTACTAGTTGGTATTCTTTAGGGCAATAGGGATAAGAAAATTTTAATTTTAGTGAATTCATAAACTACAAAGGAATGTATTACCTATGTATTTCATAACGTGTACTAGCTTAAGGCATAGAAGAAAATATTGAAACATTGTACCTTAAGAAAATTAAGGGATGTTGTTAAATACTTAATCACTAAAGATAATTCTCCAAGAAACTAATTGTTATAGCAAGTCCAGGATGTGGCATGCCCTTAATATCATCATATCATGTTGGATTGTTATAAGCATTGTACATTTTACCTGAAAACAGGAAAACATTTATTTTGTTTTGAAAATTCATTCCTACCTTTTCTGATTTTTGTTATACTAATTTAGTCTAACAATATCATAATTACTTTACTTTCATGCCCACTGTATTCACCTTTTATTAGTTAATAATAGGAAATCATGATCAGATT